AATTAAGATGAAGAAGAAAGAAGAGGAAGATTAGAAAAAAAGGAAAAGGAAAAGGAAAAGGAAAAGGAAAAGAAAAAGAAAAAGAAAAAGAAGATCGAAGAGAAGCAAAAGAAAGAGAAGACGAAAAAGAACAATAACAACAAAGGAAAAAAGAAAAGAATAAACAAAAAGAAGAATTAGAAGAAACAGAACAGCAACAAAGGAGAGGAGATTGAAAAAGGAATACACGGAACAAGGAAAAACAAAAAAGGAGAATGCCAACAACAACAACAAAGGAAGCGAATACAAAGAAAACGAGAAACGAGTAAAAACGAAAAAGATGAAGGAGGACACTAACAAAAACAAAGGCTCAAAAAAGAAAAAAAAGAGAATAAAGGAGAAACAAATGATGAAAGAAAGGGAAAAAAGAAAAAGACGAAAACAATAGCAGAAGGAGAAGAAAAAGAAGGCAAAAAGGAAGAGGAGGAAAGGAAGAATAAAGAGGAGGAGGATAAGAAGAAGAGGAAGGTGGAAGAGAATGAGAATAAGGAGGAGGAGGAGGAGCAGGAGGAGGAGGAGAAAGAGATGACGAAGAATAAGAGGAAGGAGGATGAGGAGGAAGAGGAAGGAAAGTAATAAGAAGAACTAAACCATCATTTATTCATTTTCAATTTTCTTTCACTGTTCTTTCTCAAGCGAGTAACACTCCTTGCAATAAATCAACTCAGTTGCAAGTTGCATCATTGAGAAATCTTGCAGTTGGCGAAAATGCTCTATACATCTGCAATAATTTATCACTGATCAACATTGCGAAATATTTTTCATTGGCTGTACCGATTTGACTGCATCGTCTCTCTCTCTCTCTCTCTCTCTCACTCACTCACTCACTCACTCACTCACTCACTCACTCACTCACTCACTCACTCACTCACTCACTCTCACTCTTTCTCTCTCTCTCACTCTTTCTCTCTCTCTCACTCTTTCTCTCTCTCTCACTCTCTCACTCTCTCTCTCTCTCTCACTCACTCATTCTCTCTGTCCATTCTTTCTTTTCTCCCACTCGACCGCCTTCCCTCCCTCCATCCCTCTACCACCCTTTCGTCCTTCGTAACGTAATATCAATACTAAAAAAAAAGAAAAGACAGAATGCGCTCTATCTAGTATGCAAGAGAATCAATTGGTGCTTCAGCTGCCCTCAAGTTCTGTCCTCTTTTCCCCTCCAGCCCCGCCCTCCTCCCTTCCCCTCCCTTTCCTCCCCTTTCCCCTTTCGTCTACCCCCCTCCCCACGCCGCCCTCTTCCCTTCCCTCCCCCTCCCCACCCCTCCCCCTCCCCACCCCGCCCTCTCCCCTTCCCTTCCCTTTCCCCTCCCTCCCCTCCCCTCCCTCTCCTCATGGACCGCCCTCCCCACCCCCTCCCACCCCTCCCCTCACTCTGGCCCACTCAATTTCGTATTTCTTTTCTCTCAACTTTATCCTAAGGATTATCCTAATCTTAATCCTATTCTCAACCCTCATCCTTCCCGCCAAACACTGTCGAAATTTCCCTAAACCAACCAACCAACCAACAAATAAATGATTAAGCAAACGCACAAACAATCAAACAAACAAACGCTCAAATAAAAAAGAAAATAAAGACGAAACAATTGAGTCCATTTCCTCACGGACGAATAGGCCTACGAGGCAATATCCCCGAATCCAGTCATTGCAATATTAATCCCCCGTGCATTGCAATCCGAGCCTGCAGTGCCGCGCTCGTTCCACACTCATCCACAATCATCCACTCGTGAACATCCGTCGGGTAAGTATCTGCTTTGCCGTTCACTTTGCAAGGCCAAATGAGATTAGCGAATGAGGGAGATGGAGGAAGGAAAGGAAAGAGAGAGGAAAATGAGAAAGAGGAAGAGGGACAAAGGGGGGAAGGAAAATGAGAAAGACAAAGGGGGGGAGGGGAAAATGAGACGGAGGAAGGAGAGGAAGGTGAGTGGAGACGAGGGAGTGAGGGCAGGTGAGGGGAAAAGGGGAGGGAAGGAGGAGAAAAGGAAAGGGAGGAAGGAAAGGGGAGAAGAGTGAGAAAGGGGGAGAGAGTCAAAGGGGGGGGGGAAGAAGAGGGAGTGAGGGAGGGGGACGGAAAAAGGAAAGGGAAGGAGGATGAACGGTAAAGGAGAGGGAAGGAGGGGGAGGGGAAAAGGAGAGAGAGGGAGAGGGGGGAAAACGAGGGAAGAAGAGAGGGGAAAGAGAGAGGGAAGAAGATGGGGAGAAGAGGGAGGGATACAACAGAAAAATAGGAGAGAAAAAAGGAATCCCAATCGTGGAATTATGAATATTCTTGTTTCTCTTTTTGCAAAGCCTCTCCTTTTTTTCTTCTTTCCATTCCCTCTTGTTCTTTTCTTTATCTCTTCACTATTTTTTTCCTCATTCATTTATTCATTTTCATACATTCTTTCTTCTGCTTATCTATACTGTTTTTTTTCACTGCCCCCCCTTCTCCCTCTTACTCTCCCTCTCCCTCTCCCTCTTCCTCTCCCTCTTCCTCTCCCTCTCTCTCTCCCTATTTTTTTTCTTCTTCGTCCGCCCCTCTCCCTCTCCCTCTCCCTCTCCCTCTCCCTCTCTCTCTCCCTATTTTTTTTCTTCTTCGTCCGCCCCTCTCCCTCTCCCTCTCTCTCTCCCTATTTTTTTTCTTCTTCGTCCGCCCCTCTCCCTCTCCCTCTCTCTCTCCCTATTTTTTTTCTTCTTCGTCCGCCCCTCTCCCTCTCCCTCTCTCTCTCCCTATTTTTTTTCTTCTTCGTCCGCCCCTCTCCCTCTCCCTCTCTCTCTCCCTATTTTTTTTCTTCTTCGTCCGCCCCTCTCCCTCTCCCTCTCCCTCTCTCTCTCCCTATTTTTTTTCTTCTTCGTCCGCCCCTCTCCCTCTCCCTCTCCCTCTCCCTCTCCCTCTCCCTCTCCCTCTCCTCTCTCCTCTCTCCTTCCTCTCTCCCTCTCTCCCTCCCTCTAACTTTCCCTCTCCCTCTCCTTCTCTCTACCTCTCCCTCTCCTTCTCTCTCCTTCCCTCAACCTCTCCCTCCCTCCTTCCACTCTCTCTCTCTCCCTCCCCCACCCACACACTCCCCCACCCCGCCCCTCCCTCTCCCCAACCCCGGAGTTCCGAAGGGCCAAGCACGAAGCCACAACCCCGACGGGAAAGGCCGACCTCCGCTCCCCACTCGGGTCGGCCTCATCCGCGCGCTTCATGTTGCATATTGCCTTTCAACGAGCGCCGCCCCCTTTATGCAATGTTTCTTTTTTATTTCTATCTCTGCCTCTCTTTGCCTATCTGTCCCTATCTCTCCCTCTCTCTCGTGCCCTCTAATTTCTCCTTTCTGTCTGTCTGTCTCTCCACTTCTATTTTCTCCCTCTCCCTCTTCCTCTCTCTTTATCCCCCTTCCTTTCACTCTCTCTCCCCTCCTTTCTCCCTTTCTCTCTTTCCCCTTCCCTAACCCCCCTCCCGCGCGCGCGCGCACACACACACACACACACACACACACACACACACACACACACACACACACACACACACACACACACACACATATATACACATACACATACACATACACACACACACACACACAAAAAAAAAAAAAAAAAAAAAAAAAAAAAAAAAAAAAAACGCAGCCGGGTATCTCCCCAACAATATCCCAGAACGCCTATCCGCTTATCCGCGCCGACCCGACCCGCATTTTAATATCCGTCCCGTATCCGCAGCGATTAAAAGGCTACACTCCCCCCCCCCATGCCCCCGCTCGCTGCCGTGATCGATGCGGCTGCTCATCGGACGCTGAATTTTAGATCGGCCGGCGTTGGGAGGAGGGGGGGAGGGGGGTAGGACTTAAGTATTCATTTCTCTTGTAAATATTTGCCTGGCGAATGGGGATGCATATGGTGGGGGGGGAGGGGGGAGCTTTAAGACCCATCGGCATGTGCATTTTTTTATTTATTCATGTACCTAATATTTTCTATAATCTTATTCTATCTATTTATTTTATTATTATCATTTTTTTTACTTCTGGTGAGTGGTCTTGTGTATATGTGTATATATTCTGTGTGTGTATGGCTATTTCTCCTTTCTTTCCCATTTCTACGATACTAAAAGAAAAAAAAAACGGTAAAGAACTGTTATTGCTAATTCTAAAAAAAATACCAAGACCCACGTTTGCTAAACACTTCCACCCTGTTTGCTTTCTAGATGTACAAGCAAGCAAGTCTACGTCAGACCAGTACCCCACTCCTCCCCACCTCCCCTATCCTCACTCCCACCCCTACCCTAACATCAATCCCCCTCCCCCCACCCCCGACCCCATCTCATTCCCGCTCAAGGAAAACGAGCGCCGTAAGTGAAATGTTATGGGCCAACACCGTAGACTTTCACGCCGCCCTCGGCTGGTAAAGGGAGGCAATGATCCTAATCCTATACATACCATTTACTTGGAAGCGAATGGGCTTTGGCTAATGTCAAAATAATGCAAACAATCAAGAAGTAAAGGAATAAACAGGATGTGAAGGAAGGAAGAGTGTTACAAAAAGAAAATATAAGAAATAAAACATACTATCAAGCATGACACCTCCGCCCCCCGATTTACGCCCAAGGAAAATAAAATCAAATATTTACCTACCCTGCACCAAGAATAATAAGAATAAGAATAAGAATAAGAATAAGAATAATAACACTAACAACAACAAAAATAATAGCAATAGTAATAATCATAATGATAATAAAAAATAAATAATATCATAATCATCATCATCCAAGACAACAATAATCACAATAACAATAATAACAGTATCATTATCATCATTATCATCCAAGACAATAATAAATGACAATAACAACAATAACAATAATAACAATATCATTATCATCATCAAAATAATAACAACAACGCAACTACAATAACAACAATAACAACAACAATAGTAATCAAACAATCCTACCAATACCAGTAATAAACCAACACCAGCAACAGCAAGGGCAACGCGCCAGTACTCAC